GAGACAGGATTTAAACTCAGATCCTCCTGACTCCAGGGCCAGTGTTCTATCCACTGCACCACCTAGCTGGCCTGCACCAACTTTTTTTCAAAGATGGGCAACAGTGGATGTAGAAAGAGTATATATAACATCAGGTTTTTTCAATAAGTTGATTAGTAGTGCTGAACTTCTTTTTCCTTCCTCTTCCTTTATTCTTTATTGTAACAGATGACTCTCTGGGTGATGGAAGGATACTATCATAAGTATAGGTGATATGAAAGCAAAAGCTATCAATAAAAATTCATTTACAAATAATTTCCCAGTCAGCATGGTGTAACAAAAAGAACCCTGGATTGGGAGACAAGAGACTTGAATTCTAGTTCTGACGCTAAATGACCTTCAGTGAATCTTTTCTACCTCTGGACATACAATGGTTGTGTGACTCTATACATATCATTTAATCTAGGAACCTCAATTTTCCCATATCTAAACCAGGGACAATTATACTTGCCCTTCCTAGATGAAAGAGTTGTTATGAGGAAAATGCCTTGTGACCTTCAAAAGACCACAAGTTTTGATATAGAAACTCACATGGTAGAACCAGATACTTTGCAGTTTCCCATCTGTTAATATGGGAAGCTGGGAAGCTGCCCGAAAGTTGAACCTACCTGGGACAATTTCCTGATTACCTGTGCAGTAGCACAAGTAATAAAAAGCTCATACTCTCAATGTAAAGCTGTCTGGGCACCTGACCTACCCTACCTTGTTTAACCTCCTGCTCCTTTCTATAACCTTAAGTCATTATGTTCCTCTGGTCCCTGCAGGTCCACCTAGAAATCTGCATAGCAATAACAATAGCAATAACATAGAAATAACATAGAAATTTCCATAGTAAGTATATCCTATTGGCTTCTGAGGTTAGAATTAGACTCATCAATAAATCAAATCTAATCAATAATTTACTTTTTTATGGTCCTTTGAAGGTCACAAGGCACTTTCCTCATAACAACTCAAATCAAATTTTGGAGTGGCAGAGCTCCAAAATGGTTAGGGTTAGACATTTTTCCGGCCTAAGAAAACTTAGGTCAGCAGGAGACATCTGTGACGATGGAGTGGAGGACTGTCCAGAGTGTAGACACACAGAGGCAGCAACAGTGGCCACAGCAGCAGTAGCAGCAGCTTTGAGAGTTCTAGCCCAGAGATGGTAAGAGGTTGGACAACTGGTCAGAAAGAGATTACAGGGGACCCGTTGCTGGCACTGGGTATAGCAGGTGATGATTTGCAACTCTATTGCCTATATGTAGTTCTGAGTCACAGTTCCAGGGCACAGAAGAACACTAGGGCTTGTGGTTGCAGGGGAACAGGGGACCTGGTCATAGTTCTAAAGTCAAGAGGAGCACTAGTGCTTGCAGTTGCAGGGGAACGACATCCTATCCTGGGTAAAGATCAGAGCATAGATCAAGAAAGCAACGATCACACCTCTCCCCTAATCACACCACCTTGGAAGCACTGAAAATTTGCAGACCCCCAGAACTAGCTCTGAAAACAGCAGCACAAAAAAAGCTTGAAGCTTGAGACAGTGCCTCTCCGTTCCCAAGTGAGCAGAGCCCAACTTTAACATAAAATTCAAATTCAAGAAATAGGCTAGAAAAATGAGCAAACAACAGAAAAAGAACAATCATAAAAAACTACTATGGTGGCAGGAAAGACCAAGAGACAAACTCAGACAAAAACAATAACAGAAAAACAGCTATAATCAAGCCTCAAAGAAAAATATTAATTGGACACAAACCCAATAAGAATTCCTGGAAGAGTTAAAGAAAGATAAGAGTAGTGGAGAGGAAATTGAGAAAAGAAATTCAACTGATGCAAGAAAATTATGAAAAGAGAATTAAGAACTTGGTAAAAGAGGCACAAAAATACTGAACAAAATAACAACAAAAAAATAGAATTAGCCTAATGGTAAAATAAGCGCAAAAATTCACTAAAGAAAAGAACTCCTTAAAAATTAGAATTGGGCAAGTAGAGCTAATGATTCCATAAGACATAAAGAAACAATCAAACAAAGTCAAAAGAATAAAAAAAATAGAAGAAAATGTAAACTATCTCATCAGAAAAACAACTGACCTGGAAAATAGATTGAGGACAGAAAATTTAAGAATTATCGACTACCAGAAAGCCATGATAAAAAAGAGTTTCAACATCATATTTCAAGAAAATATCAAGGAAAACTGAGCCAGAGGTAAAATACAAATGGAAAGAATCCACCAATCACCTCTGAAAGAGGTCCCAAAGCAAAAACTCCCAGGAATCTTATAGCCAAATTCCTGAGCTTCCAGGTCAAGGAGAAAGTATTACAAAGCAGCCAGAAAGAAACAATACAAATATCATGGAAGCACAATCAGGATCACACAAGATTTAATGGATGCCATGTTAAAGGAGCAGAGGGCTTGGAATATGAAATTCTGGAAGGCAGAAGAGCTAGGACTATAAACAAGAATAACCTACCCAGCCCTCAAGGGAAAATATGAATGAAATAGAGGACTTTCAAGCATTCCTGATGAAAAGACCAGAGCTGAATAGAAAATCTGACATATATATGTACACACACACACACACACACACACACACACACACACACACATGCACCTTTTTTTTTTCCCAGGCAATTGGGGTTAAGTGATTTGTCCAGGGTCACACAGCTAGTGAGTGTCAAGTGTCTGGTCTGAGACTGGATTTGAACTCAAGTCCTCCTCCCTCCAGAGCTGGTGCTCCACTGTACCACCTAGCTGCCTCATACGCACATTTTTAAAAGAAAATTCAGCATTCAAACACAAGACTTGAGAGAAGCATAAAAAGGTAAACATGAAAGAGAAATCATAAGGGACTCAATAAGATTAAGCTGTTCACATTCCTATACAGGAAGATAATGCAGGTAACTACTAAAAACATTATCAATATTAGGGCAGTTAAAAGAAGTTTACATAGAAGGCATGGGTGTGAGTTGATCGTGTTGGAATGATCTCCAAAAAAAAATGAAAGGGTGAAAAAGAGGGATGCACTAGCAGAAGAGGGAAGGGAGAGGTGGAATGGGGAAAATTTTCTCATATAAAAGAGGTACACAAGGAAGAGCTTTTATAGTGGAAAGGAAAATGGGGGGGGTGCAATGCTTGAACCTCACTCTCCTTGAGGGAAGATTGTTGGACCTCACATAGTGCCTTTTCACTTCTCTGTTACAGGAGATCTTGGGCAGCTAGATGGTGCAGTAGATAGAGTGCCAGGTCTGGATTCAAGAAGACTCATCTTCCTGAGTTAAAATCTGGCCTCAGACACTTACTAGTTGTGTGACCCTGGGCAAGTCATTTAACCCTATTTGCCTCAGTTCCTCATTTGTAAAATGAGCTAAAGAAGGAAAGAGCAAACCACTCCAGTATCTTTGCTAAGAAAACCCCCCAAATGGAGTCTCAAACAGTTGGATGTGACTGAAACAAATGAACAACAATCATAACTGTGCATGGAAATGGGAAGAGCTAACCCACAAAAGGAAAATGGATAGCAGAAAGGATTAGAAATCAGAATCCAACAATATGTTGTATGCAAGAGACACACTTAGAACAGAAAGATGCATGCAGATTTAAATTAAAGGTTGGAGCAGAGTCTAATATGCTTCAGTGGAAGTAAAAAAGGTAGAGGTAGCAATCATGACATCAAACCAAGCAGAAGCAAAATTAGACCTAATTAAAACAGATAATGAAGGAAACTACATTTTGCTAAAAAAAAAAAAGTACCATAGACAATGAAGTAATATCAAAAATTTTCATAGCAAACTTCTCCAATGAAGGTCTTATTTCTCAAATATATAGAAAACTGGGTCAAATTTATAAAAATAAGAGCCATGCCCCAGTTGATAAGTGGTTGAATGATATAAACAGGCAGTTTTCAGAAGAAGAAATAAAAAATGCTTTAAATAATTATTGATTCGAAAAATGCAAATTAAACCAACTCTGAGGTGCCATTTCACACCTTTCAGAAATGACAAGTACTAGAGTTGGTGAAGGCAAATAGTTACACTAATAAACTGTTGGTAAAGTAACGAGCTAGTCCAACCATTCTGGAGAACAATTTGGAACTATGCCCAAAGGGCTTTAAAATTGTGCATGACCTTTGACTCAGCAAAACCGCTGCCCAAAGAGATAAAAGGAAAAGGAAAAGGACTTATATGTACAAAATAATTATATCAATTCTTTTTGTGGTGGCGAAGAATTGGAAATTGAGGGTATATGCATCAATCTGAGAATGGCTAAACAAATAGTTGCATATGATTGTGATGGAGTACTATTATGCTATAAGAAATGACAAGGGGGGTGGTTTCAGAAAAACATGGCAAGACCTATATGAACTGATTCAAAGTGAAGTGAGAAGAACATCATTGTGCATGTAACAATGTTCTACTGTGAAAGGCTTGGCTACTTTGACAAATACAATGATCCAAGACAATTCCAAAGGATTCATGATGAAAAATGCTATCCACCTCCAGAGAGAGAACTGATAAACTCTGATTTCAAACTGAAATAATTTTCTCACTTCTTTTGGTTTTTTTTTTTTGCAATATGGCAAATATGGAAACACATTTTGCATGATTTCACACGTACAATTGATATCACATTATTTGCCTTCTCAGTGGCCAAGGGAGATTGTGGGAGGGAGGAAGAGAATTTGTAATTCAAAATTTAAAAAGAAAAGAATGTTTAAAATATATAAATAATAAAATTTAAAAAAAAATAAAACAAAATGGGGAACATAATGATGCTTGCACTACCTGCCTCATGGGGTTGTTGTAAGGAAAGAGCTCGCATTACAGGTGGACTGGATCTAACCCCAGAGCATGTAGTGTGCTCTGCCTGCTGACCAGCCCACATGGAAGAGGCTAGGAAACCTGCTTCCAGAAAGGGGTGATTATGGAGAATGGAAGAGTCTTGCTCCCCAATTCAGATTGTCAAGGGGTATTCCAGTCAGCTTACCTTGTAGTGAAGAGGTGCTTTTTTGATTGGCTGCTGAAATGGAACTGAGACATAGGCAAAAGACACTCACAGAGGGCAACTTGCCCTTTCTTTCCTGCCTAGCTGGTTTGAGTGAGGAAGTTGTTGTGTAAGCCTTTGGGTGGGACCTCAGGTCCTCCCCATCCAGGCCATCTGTAGTCTGTAGTATAAAAGGGGACAGGCCAATGGAAATCCTGTTCCTAGAGTGTTCCTGTCCACTCTGGGGCAGTCAGATCATGCTCTGTGGACAGGACTGTAGTTGGCCAGTCTCCCTACTATACTTTGAAAGTATACTACTATACACTATAGAGCAGAAGCACTATAGAAATGGAAATATCTTCATCATCATCATCAGAGGAAAGTAGCTCTTTACCTTCTGGTTGTTTTGACATTAGTCAAACATAAGATGAATAACTTCCCTCCACCTCAAACAGCCTAGAGTAGCATCATTCCCAACCCACACCCTACAGTTATGGTGATGCCCAGAAGACATATTCAGGTGTATTTCAGGGGACAGAGGGTGACTCCTCTCTAATGGCAAATTGAAATAAGGTGCTCATATTACTGTGTGAAGGCAGCTAGATGGCATAGTGAATAGAGCACAGGACCTGGAATCAGGAAAACCTGAGTTCAAATCTGACCTCAGACACTTATTAGCCACGTGACCCTGGGCAAATCACTTAACCCTGCTTGCCTCAATTTATTCACTTGTAAAATGAGCTAGAAAAGGAAATGGCAAACTAATTCTAGCATCTTTGTCAAGAAAATCCTAAATAGGGTCATGAAGAATTGGACATGACTGAACAACAGCTACTATGAGAGAAAGAAAAAGGCTTGTAGGATCTTAGGATTTAGGGCTGAAAATGACCTTGAGGATCATTTAGTCTAGAGGTTCTTAAACTTTTCAGTGTTATTGACCCTGCTGGCAATCTGGTAAAACCTATAGATACATCTTTTCACAAAATAATCTTTGAAAACACATGAAAGATAGGATTCCAAAGGATTGACATTTCCATTTCAATTATAATGAAATGCAGTTATCAACATATTTTTTAAAAAAATAAAGTCATATATCCCCTAAAATCTATCCATGTACCCCAAGGGTTTCTTAGGGGTGTAGGAGGGAAGAAGGAATGAAAAACTAAGAAGTCTATGGCCCTTAGCTTAAGAATCCCTAATCTAGTCCGACCCTTTTAATTTTACAGAAGAGGAAATGAGACCTGAAGAGATCAAGTAACTTATCCAGTTTCACATAGAACATAAGCAGCCACTCTGGGTACCTGGAGGTCCTCTGATTATAAAATTGGTTTTCTTTCCACTATGCCAAGTTGTCAAATTTGCCCAAATGTGTGACCAGGCCTCTTTGATTTAGCACTTGAGGAGGAACAGAGTGGAGATGTGGGTGAGGCAGGTTTCATTGTGTCTTTGCTGGCTTGAATACTTCTTGTTCCCTCTCTGCAGCAGGTACAAACCAATCTAAAGCATTCACCCATTTCCTGTTCCCACATTTTCACCCAAAGCCCAAAGAAGCAATGGATCAGAGAAAGGCTATACCCACACTTGGATCTTTAGAAGGGTGCTACACTATTCGAGTCAGGATAGTATAAGATGGCTACATGGTACAGGATAAAGAACACTGGATTTGGAATCAGAATTTGTCGTTCAGTTGTTTCAAATGTGTCCAACTCTTTATGGCCCCATTTGGGGTTTTCTTGGCAAAGATACTGGAATGATTTGCTATTTCCTTTTCCAGTTCATTTTGCAGATGAGGAAACTGAGGCAAACAGGGTGAAGTGACTTGCCCAGGGTCACACGGCTAGTAAGTGTCTAAGGCCAGAACTCAAGAAACTGAGTCTTTCTGATTCCCAGTCTAGTACTCTATCCATTGTACCATGTAGCTGCCCCTGGAAGTCAGAACACCTGGTTTCAAATTCCAGCTCTACCACTTATTAGACATGTGACGATGTTAAAATTATCTGAAATTAAAAAGTAACTGAGGTACAAAATTACCAAGCAAATAAATAATGGTTTAATAGCAAGGCTAGTAAGTTAACATTAAATCACGTCAACTAATTCTTTAGTAATTAGTGGCAAAGGAGTGATTTGAAGAGCTTATTTTTATAACAGAAAAAAGGAATAAAAATTAGGAAACATGTTTTGAACATAATTTTGAATAATTTTGAACATAGTTCAATTGGGCAAGAGAGGTCATCTGACTAGTTCACTTCTCCCAGGCTTTTTTAACCCAACAGTAAAATCTGGTTATCAAAGTGAGATTATTCCAGAAGTCCTTGCCCTACTTGTGACTTTTGTAACCAGAAAGCTTACTGGGAAAGAGGAACTTGTGGTTTGCAGTTTGCAGTCACCCACCATCTTCCAGCTGTCAACCGTAGAAGATTCTATTACTCAACTTAGATTCTATCTCAAGAAAAAAGGGAGCTTATCCACTAAGACTGGAAAAAAGAAACAAACCCTTTGTCAACCCCCCTTTCTCCAGCTGCCAGAAAGGGGAACTTAGTCTTTAAAAAGAATCTTATAATCCTATGATTTTTTTATTCCTACAAAGATATATGTCTTACTCTAAATTATCTGCTACTAAATGATAAAGTCTTATCAATCTACCTATTCACTAAATCTATATGTAACCTAGACTTAAGAGACTATCTACATTAACCTGGCTTAGCTATTAGGACTAGCTTTTCTTAAAAAAGGGAGCTTAATTCTACAATCAAACGAACAAAAAAATAATCAAAGCAATCAATTCTAACTGATTTCTTTTTCAGCGAGTCATTTCCCTTTAGTTTCCTCCTTTGTAAAACGAGAACATTGAATTAGATGATGTCTAAAGTTGTTCAGGCTTGTGATTTTGGGGACAGTCAAGCCCTAGCCAGAACTCTTGCCCGCCTTAGAAGATAGTGAGGGAGATCCTAAGCAATAATCTAAAGATTTCATAATATTTTCCAAGTGTCCAAAGCAGTAGGGTGCACTTCATATCATTAGATAGTTTTCCAGGAAATTATATCTTACTAAAAGTTGCATTAAACAATGAAGTAATTTCAATTCTAAACATATATGTGCCAAATGACAGAGCATCCAAATTCTTAAAGGCACAAGCAAAACCAATGCAACCAAAATTAGAAGGAAAGCAGGAATTGGGGGGGGATTTTTACAGCAAGTTTCTCTGAGGAAAGCCTTATTTCTCAAATACATGGGGAGCTAGAATCTGTGAAATCAGCCTCCTAAATGCCTCCCCTGACAACTACAGCCTACGCCAATGTCTGCCTTCTGTGAACGCCTACAACCCTCCAAAGTCTGAACCACAAGTGTGAGTACCCAACCAAGTTTCTGACACTTTTCTCTAAGTGTTCTCTAATCTTCTTTCTGTTTTGTATTCCATTCATCCTGTAAGATCCTCCAAGGCACTGACTGTGTTTTATCTTTCATAACCCAAACTAGGTCTAGGCATGAACCAGGTGCTCTAAGCATGGCCTAGGTGAGCACTAGGTGCTCAAATAGGCAGTCAGTAACCTAAGAAGAACTTATTGATTGTCAACCTTATGTATAGGCATTATGTTAGGGGCTGGTGCTATAAAACTAAAATGAATCAGTCCCTGTTTTCAAGGGTTATATTCCATTGAGGGAAACAACATATACACATATAAAGAAATTCCAAATATATACAAGGTAAATACAAAGTAATTTCATGGGGGAGGGGTGTGGGGAGGGGAGGTAGAACTAGCAAGGAGAAGTGTTCTATGAGGTATATATTCAGGGTTAAGAACCTTCCCCAAAACAATATAACGCTCTTTTTGAGGGACTAACATTTGCAAATATAACACTCTTTTGGGTAAATAAGCTCCTTTTAACATGCCAGTATACCTGGGAACATTACATCTCAAGTCCCACTAGTCATTTATCCCTTGGTATGAATCAATTAAATAGATATGGTTTCCCTTCAAGGATCAAAAGATTTAGAGGCAGAGGGGCCCTAGGCCATAGCTGTAGAGCTGAAAGGGACTACACAAATCATCTAGTTTGACCCCTCAATTTACACAGAAGGAAACTGAGGCTCAGAGGGGAGGGGAGATGACTTGCCATCAAGAAGATTCATATAACAATTGTTTACTAAACACCTACTTTTCGGTTGTGACTGACCCGCCATGATCCCATTTGGGGTTTTCCTGGCAAAGATACAGGAGTGACTTGCTATTTCCTTCTTCAGCTCATTTTACAGATGAGGAAACTGAGGCAGACAGGATGCAGTGACTTGTCCAGGGTCACACAGCTAGTAAGTCTCTGAGGCCAGATTTGACCTCAGGAAGATGAGTCTTTCTGACTCCATGCCCAGCATTCTATCCACTGGTCACCTAGTTGCCCAAACTCATACTACGTGCAACTAATTGTACTAGGTGCAGAAGATAACAAGGATATCCTGCTTTCAAGGGACTTACATTCTAATAGAGGAGAAAGCCATATATACACATAAGTATAATGCAAAGGACAATGTATTCACTGCAAAGGAGAGATCCAGGTGTAGGTTGTGAGAAATAGAAGATGGGAGAAAACATCTGAGAACTTGAGGTGATAAAAGGCATGGGATCCAGAAGGGCTTCATGGAAAAGATGGAACCTGGTCAGCCCTTAAAGCAAGGGAGAAAGGGCCTTTCACAACAATGATAATGATAAGTCATATTTCTACAGAACCTCAATCCTATGAGGGAGGTATCTTGTGAGGGAGATGCCTAAGCATCATTAACTCCATTTTATGGATGAAGAAATTGATGTGCTGAGAGATTAAATAATATGTGCATGGTCACATAGCTAGGAAGTAAAAAGCAGGATTCAAACCCTGATCTCCAATTCTGCTACATCATGCTGCTCTCGAGAGAAGAGCTATCGTCTGGTCATATCTTCCCATCCTATGTTCCCAGTGTAATATAGTGGAAAGAATGCTGAATTTAATGAGAAACTGAAGATTCAAATCTCTCATTCAATCAATAAGCATTGAAGTCCTTACTAGGGACAAAGTGCAATGCCAAGCACTGGGGATTTTGTTGTTTGTAAGTCATTTCAA